ATTAACTAATGGCAAGTGCACATGATGCATCAATTCGGTTCAACATCGGTAAATTACCGCAGGGCAAACACGGTCCCTATTTACAAAAAAGAGCCTTTTAGGGCAACGCTAATTCGAGCATGGAATGACGTTCATCCTTTCGCGCCTGTATATACACTCAAAATATCCCCGCACTCTTTAAATAAGTGATGTAAAGCTTCAGTAAGTACATGAGTAACATTTCATGCGGCCTTTCGCAAAGTTGCGGTTCAGAATCACGAAGAAGAATGGCTTAAGTGCTAACTACTACAAATACATTTGCATCAATTAATAGGTTATTAATTTTAAAGCTTCACATACTGAGTTGTAAAACTAGTTGGTGGATGTCTATTCCATTGTGCAATAGCTAAATTGTGCTTTAAAGTCCATCGAATCTGTGTTGAGAATCAAAATTTATTTCTAAACAACACGGCGTAATCCACTGCAAGGCACACCCTGTTACAAAAGACAGAATTTCTAGCTGGCTTCTGCCTTGATGGAAAGGGTTGATGAAGTGTATTTGCTACTCCTTTAGTTAATAGAACTTATTTTATATGCCCTTGGGTGGCTATATATTTTTACCACAATAATTGCAAGAGCTTGTATTGTTGCCTCATGCTGAAACAGCCTAAGTAACCACAAACCTCAAAGTAATAAATGGAGTGTACACTTATTATTCAGAAATTTACTACACAATGGCACATTTCAAAAAGTCTGAATTTGTATGTAAGTGTGGAATATTATCTATTACAGCAGCCGGCAGGGAAATAATTTTTCAAAACCCAATAAGAGCCTTGTGTCGTCTGCAAATTAAAAAAAGTAATTAAAGCTGTTAAGCAGTGAGGACTTGTCAGGCATCCAACGGAATATGCCCGATTGTGTGCACCAACTGCAAAATTGTGGGAAAATTTCAAAATTAGATCTCAAACTCATGTAAAACAAGAAGACTTTAAATGATGTCAATTTGACACTTTTGGAAAGCCTTACTTTTTATAATTCAGTAGAATTTACTACTGTGGGCGTTAAATTCATGTTGGCATCATAACCACCATACCTCGATACCTAGATAATTTTCGTGAGAATCAAGCAGGTATATGGGTGCTTGTCCGTTTCCTTTTGTAAACCTCAATACTTAGTGAAGATTCAAACATCTTCTTGGGTCATTCATGAAAATTCCGAGCGGAGTTTCCACAAGTAAAACAAAGTGCCTACAACATCCAAAGGAGGTAATATTTTAACTTGAATCCCCCCTAAATTCAACAGCATTTTGATAGTAAAAGAATGCCCATGATAATCTTTGTTGCTAAAATATTTAAATAATCAAATGATTGCAAAATGTACTTAGAGGATGAGGTTCGAAGAAAAGTATAGCAGCAGGATATGTCCGAAATCATAAGGTAGCACAGTCTTCTTGATTTTGCCCAGATCGATGGTCAAAGTCATCACAAACTCATCAGATTTTTGTGAATATAATGAAAGATGCTTTAATTAAGTGAGTTTGGAACTGCACAGTAATAATTGACGGATGTAATAAGAGACATGCTATTATTGATAGGTTTAGACCATTACTCTTCCATCGCGATAAGATACCTCAGCCGCCAGTACACCTTTCTGCGATGTATCCTATATGCCAATACAAACGTCAAACAAATTGTACGGCTACATCGTTTACGTGGCTCTTCGAAGTGTTGTCGTCACAACTTAGCCGTTTGTCATGATTAGAAATATTTTTATGGCAAGTGGTTATCGTTTAAGCAAAATTAAAGCCTCAATATTCTTTTTGAGCATAGAAGAAACTCAAAAATGGCCACCAGTTTTGTGAGCATGGGTATTGGCTGTAGTTTTGTTGCAATTAACTAATGGCAAGTGCACATGATGCATCAATTCGGTTCAACATCGGTAAATTACCGCAGGGCAAACACGGTCCCTATTTACAAAAAAGAGCCTTTTAGGGCAACGCTAATTCGAGCATGGAATGACGTTCATCCTTTCGCGCCTGTATATACACTCAAAATATCCCCGCACTCTTTAAATAAGTGATGTAAAGCTTCAGTAAGTACATGAGTAACATTTCATGCGGCCTTTCGCAAAGTTGCGGTTCAGAATCACGAAGAAGAATGGCTTAAGTGCTAACTACTACAAATACATTTGCATCAATTAATAGGTTATTAATTTTAAAGCTTCACATACTGAGTTGTAAAACTAGTTGGTGGATGTCTATTCCATTGTGCAATAGCTAAATTGTGCTTTAAAGTCCATCGAATCTGTGTTGAGAATCAAAATTTATTTCTAAACAAGTGAAGAATTTGTACTCAAAGGCGCCCCACATGCATGCTGCAAAGGCCATGTTACGCTCTTAACTCCCAAGAAACTGCCCACGGTACCAAAGTTAAAGTGAGTACGTGCGTTTTGTTTTCCATCATAGCT